CTAACCCTAAACCCTAACCCTAACCTAAACCCAAAAACCTAAACCCTAACCCTAACCCTAAACCCTAAACCCTAAACCCTAACCCTAACCCTAACCCTAAAAAACCTAACCCTAACCCTAACCCTAACCTAAACCCTAACCTAACCCTAACCTAACCAAAACCTAAACCCTAACCTAAACCCTAACCCTAAAATATATATTTCTCTATTCTTCTTTATCCTTTATCTATTTTAAAAAGAGAGGTTTTAATTATTTCTTTTATAATATTTTTAACTATAGCTTCTAAATTTTCTATTCTTTCTAACCCTATTTCCTTATAGAATATTAACTATTTTTATAATTATAATAATTTTAAAAAGCTTTCTAGAATTTAATTTCCTAACCCTAACCCTAACCCTAACCCTAAACCCTAACCTAAACCCTAACCTAACCTAACCTTAATATCTATTTTATATAATTTTTAAAAAGTTTTAAATTATAGCTTTTATACTACTTTTTAAAATTAATTTTAATATTAAACTATATAGAATAATTAAGTCTACTTATTAATATATTATTAAGTTATTATTATATCTTTTATTTATAAATATTTATTTTAATTTTAACTTTTTTTAAAAAAATTAATATTTAATTCTTACTTAATACTATAAAGTTAAATTTAAAATAATAATAAATTAATTATCTAAATTTAGAATTTCTATCTAATTTTAATTTAGTTTAAATTATATAATATATAAATACTATAATTATATTATAATATTAAATTTAATACTTTATTATATAATATTATTTCTAATTATTATTCTTATAATAAATATAATTTATTATATTTAGTATTTAGTATTATAATATATTAATATTTATAGTTTATTTAGCTTTATATTTGATTTATAATTTTAGTTATTATATAAGTAAATATTTTATAATTTTATTTCTTTTTTATAATTATTTATTTAATATTTAATTTTTTTTTAATTATTTAAGTATATTATTTATTTTAATAATAATTTTAAAAAATATATTTTAATTTAAAATATATAAAAAGAAAATAAAAAAGAAAGAAAATTAAATAAATTTATTAATTTAAATAATTATATCTTTAATCCTAGGCTAGAATCTACCTAATTTTTATTCAATTTTTGAGCCTGGGCTGGAATCCTTTAAGGATACAATCAAATAGTAAAAAAAAGATAGATTTTCTAGTTATAGAGAGTAGGGTTGATAAAAAACCCGTTTGTAAACATCTCTTCTACTAGTTTCTTAATTAAAAAATCTAGCTTGTGATGACATAACCCACTGTGTAATAACCCAATAACCCACGCACTATAGAATCTAAAAAGATACTTATCTTGAAGTGCCTCCCAAGATTCTAAAATAGTATCTAATTTTTCCTTTAGGACGTCATGAGGCTCATAGCCCATTTCAAAAACCAACCTGTCGTAATACGCCAAACGGAAGATGTTCTCAATGACGTATATAGGTACTAATAATTTAGTTAATCTTAAATTATAATTATCCAATAAAGTATTTAGACATACCTTGTACTTTTGCACATTTGTTCCCGTCACTAACTATTTTTGTTGAATCTCCATTAAAATCCTCAATATACCGCGTTCTTGTTCGGGGTTGAGGCGTGCCAGATATCTCCATAAATGCATATATATCGAGAGGGAGTTGTGCAGATGGGCGGCAGATAAATGTCATTTCGCATCGTCTCGTAAACTTGTGCCCGACAACAGGTGTGACTTGCACCTCCTTCTGAAGGATATAGATAATTATTAGAGTAATCTTCTCTTGGATACCACGTAGTATCGGTTCCAGGATAGCATTCCTCTGATCCTTCCAATTGAAGTTGAGGCGCTCTTGATCCCACTTTATGGTTAAAGTTTCCCATGATTTTGGACTATTAGTAGTATCTTCTACAAGCATACTATAACCAAGATCGGCCCAGCTTGTAAACGGGAATAGAGTCGACCAACTCATACCACGTTTCTGTAGATAGTCCTTCCAGTAGGTTACGCCCAGGCATTTAACAACTGAAATAAATTTCTCATCCATTTCAATTAGAGTCTGTAGGTCGACAGGGCTTAAAAAGCCCAAAACATGGAGACAGACATCCAGAGGCAACTGAATCAATCATTAGCCTCAGAATCACAATTATTATTTCATAGCCTACCTGAAGTAGAGGTACCCCTCTCATCTCCACAATTTTGTTCTCCATTCAACTAGATTTCATCTCCACATTCAATTCAACCTCATACCTACATAAATCCACATTAACGCGCCAATTCGGCCTCTTATAGTGTATCAGGACATGCACTTTCCAGCCCAGGCTCACTTACCATTTGGGTCACACAATTTGACGGGCTACTGTACTAGAAAGGTGGTAGAGTAATAGTAAAGACTTAACTCGCAGATTTAATATGCGTATAAAATGAATATATAAAGGCTTTTATATCTTGTAAGTGTAACTAAAGTAATTAGTAAAGATACAAATCACCCAGATCACCCAAATCACTCAGATCACTCAGATCACTCAGATCACTCAGATCACCCAGATCACTCAAATCACTCAAATCACTCAAATCACTCAAATCACTCAAATCACCCAGATCACTCGCCACGTTTCTATATAAAACTCACCTCCCACCTAGTAAGAACCCAAACACTTGTCATATCAACCTAACCCAACTGCCTCCTAGAATACATCCAGGTTTTCAAGGTAAGAATGCCTAATTCCTCTCCCGTTACCAAAGCTGATATATCAGATGTCTACTGCCAATACCTCAACCCCAACAGTCAAATACGACTATTTTAAATGCACTGGACGAGATATTCACGAAGCCACCCTTGCTATTACCTTCGACTTCAGCCCAGATGTACCCGTTGAAGTTCAACGTTGCCTTCGAGAAATCGCCGAAAATCTTACCCATATAAATGGCACACCACCAATCGATATTGAGAAATCCACACATTGGTATACTTGCCAGGCCAGACACTATACCAGCAACTTTACCCGCGCAATTAATAGCTACACCGAATACCTCCAGACTATCGACCCCCATATTGCAACTCTTACCCTCACTCCAATTATCGAAGATGAAGAATTCAACGTCGACCAGTATCTCATGAATTCCCAGTTTGAATTGGTCTTCTCAGTCACCATTACCTTCAAGCCCACAGAAGAATCCGCCTAGGCTCAATACATAGCCGCCCCAATAGATAGCAAAAAATGTCATACATCTCATAAATTCTCCCAACCATCTTCCAGCTTAGAGAGTACGTAGCTCCATGTACATTTCAGCCCAGGCTCAAGTCTTCAAACATCTCACGTGATAGCCGCATGGAAAGGAGCATATTCTAGCCCAGGCTGGAATGTAGCATATTAAATGAAATATGTGGGTATATATTCTAGCCTGGCCTGGAATGTAATGTGTAGATGAAGTAAGTTTATTATGGACTAGTTGGGTACTAACTCTAACCTCTCTAGGACTTAGGAATCCTCTTCATTGATCCTGTTGAATCCATCGTAGTGGATCTGTTTGATGAGGATGTCAACAATTACCTCATGCCTCTCTAGGAAGATGTTGTATGCCGTGCTGGCTGGCGTCTCATTTAAACGAGTTATTTCCAGTGGAGTAACGACGGCACTTCCAATACGCACTTTTAACGCGCCGACAAACTCATCCTGGAGAAATTCAATAGCTCCAGCAGATGGCGGCTCCTCCGGGTTGATTAAAAATCCTCCACATTCTTGATAAAAGGCTGCACAAGCGCCATTAACAGCGCTCTTGACACGTTGCTCCATGCCCGCGTGCATTGTCACATTCATACGAATAGAACACGAAATATGCGTTGGGTTTGCGTTTTGTTCAGTTGCCATCTTGACTGCTAATATAATTAGCTATTTGCTTCTAACCGCGCGTTAATAATAGTCACTTACTTGTAAACGTCGTGTATTAAGGTATACCTGGCTAGTTTTGACTATGCCTGGTTAAGATATCCGATTCTGTCACCGCCAATGTTTGAAGGCGGATTTCGTCTATATATCAAATTTAACCTTGTAAGCGTATATCGATGTATGTCTGGATAGAGCAATATACCAAATAAAGTTGTGATGCGGAAGGTATCACCTTGGCTCGAAGATTTGATATGTAGATGAAACCAATTTTTAAAAAGTTTTATATTCGTAAAGGTAGGTAGTAGGTACTATATATATTTAATATGCCTTTCCAGATCACCCTCTAGATCACCCTCTAGATCACCTCCAGATCACCTCCAGATCACCTCCAGATCACCCTCTAGATCACCCTCCAGATCACCTCCAGATCACCTCCAGATCACCCTCTAGATCACCCTCCAGATCACCCTCCAGATCACCCTCCAGATCACCTCCAGATCAAAGTAATGTATTATAAAACAGGTTGGCGAATGGCTATACCCCTTATTTTTAATATCTAGATAGTACCACATGCGAAGCACTGCGTGGGCCTAATAAAGATTCGTAAATGCTTAGACTCAGCGGGTGTATATTTGTATATCTCTGCAAAATACTAGGGTAAGTATTTGATGTTAATTAATATTTGTATAAGACTTACTATCATAAGCCTTGTATAGCAACGCGATATCCTCTTCAGAAGGGTTCTGCTTATTTGCCAGAGCAGGAACCTTCATATGTCTGCTAAACCCCTAAGAAAAGGTTTATAGTAGGGTATATTAAGCCTCTAGTTGCTTTTGTTTTCATACTAAGCAAAATAGTCCTGGAGACAAGTAAAATATTTAGCACTTTTGCACTTCAAGGTACCCTGCCACGAGTTCTATATGGTAATAGAAGTATTTGCATAGTAAGCCAAATTAAATGTTAAGACTCCCTTAGTTCACAGCATAGTATACGAGACCCGACTATTGTAAAAGTCTCATTTCAGTTTTTTAATGTATTCTTGTAAAAATTAGAATTCAAGTAAAACATTTGAACCTGTATTTATAGACCAGTTATCAATAGTGAATTAGAAATAAGCTTCACAAGTGACTGGCGCCGAGAATTCACTACAGTACCGCCTCCCCAGTTATTATTCAACTATACCCCATGTACAGTCTACTACTTGTACCAAGGAGGTAAACTTCGTTAATCCAATCGACCCAGGCTAGAATGTAGAGCTAGCCACCTAGATATCCAACGTCAACTTGGGAACCGCCTACACCTATATCTTACGTAATAAGCGTATTATTAATAACTAAAGCGCACCAAACCCAATATAGAAATGAAAAGGCATATGGCGTAGCCAGAGCAACCTCTAGGCCACATCATTGATTTTTTTTAACTTCTAGTTTTTATCTCTTATTTTCGCTGGCGCTTGCTAACAGGAGTTGTAAGTCCCACCAGACTCCCAAAACGGGTCTTTCGCTTACGACTCGACTGACGGGGAGTAGACCCTCCACTCCCCAAAACGCTACCCTCTGACTTGCTGTCGGCGGCCCCCCCATCCTCAGACACAGATGCAACTTTCAAGACTTCAATGGTACCACGCAGTCCAGTCGAGGCACCCAAACCATTGTCTATACCATTAGCCATTAACCTCATACACATTCTAGCCCGGGCCAACAAGGACAATTCACTTACCCCCATCCACTTCATCGCTGGAATTAGCCACAAACGAATCCTCACATCTAGCACCAGGAGTTGCCACGGCTATGCCACATTAGTATACTTCAACCCAGAATAGACCCCCTCACATTGGACATACCCTCATCCGAACCATCTTGCTCTTGGATAGTCTTAAGGTATGCCTCCAAGTCCTGTTGCATTTGGGCCAATCGACCACACTCTGCTGTGAATTTGGCTTATATTAGTCAACAACACTCGCGCCTTCTAGCCCGGGTCAAATTAGGCAACTTACCATCGGGGTTTGGGATTGAATCACCCAAATCCAAATCACCCAAATCACCTCGTGGAGTAGCTACACCCCCTTCGTTCCCATCTCGTGCTAAACATTCTTCATTAGTACATGCGCCTTCTAGCCCGGGCCAACCAACCCAGACAACCTACCATCGTCTTTTGGGCTCAAACTACCCAAATCCAAATCACCCAAATCACCACGGGGAGTAGCTACACCCCCTTTGCTGGTAGCGCAACTCCCACCTGTCAATTTGGCTTGTACTAGGCAACATCAGCACTCACACATTTCAGCCCGGGCCAACCAAACCAGCCAACTCACCATCTTCTCCAAACTCTGCAGTCTCCAAACCCTCACCCGAATTGTCATCTAGTTCAACACCCATGTCTCCCGTACAACCTATGTATTCGCCTTATATTAGTACAATACATCCCAACCAAGGCAATCAACTTTCCACCACTAGGGGATCCCATCCGACTCTTACCAATACCCGCTTCTTCAGTTGTAATCTCTGCTCCATCTTCAGTTGCAATCTCTGCTCCATCATCTTCAGTTGCAACTTCCGTCCCCACTTCACTATCAGGGTCGGCATCATCTTCGTCTAAATCCATAGTCAGCATACATCTTCCAGGTAGGGCTCACTCAACCCACCACCTTCCGCGTCCGATTCAGTTACACGCTCCGTGGATAAAATCTTCTTCCGAGGAGTAGAGTTTGGCTTTTCGCGTCGCTTCAAAATACCATCTATATAACCAATTAGGAACTTTCATGGAGTACATTCTAGCCTGGGCTGGAATGTATAGCCAGGTAACTTACCAACTTCTGATATTATTTGGCTCACAGTTTGGGCGAGGTATTCTTCCCATGTTTTTGTTGGCTCCATGCAGTCTTGGTAGCCGAGTGTTTTGGGTTCGCGCCAGGCGAGGCGAGAATGTTTTTGGCCAAGCATCTGCATCAGCATGCTATTGGCGGCGTAGTTTAAAAAATCGGATTTGAGGCGAATACATGCAGAATTGACAATCTTTGCCGTGGCTTCGTTGTATTGGTTGCGTTCCGATGGTAGGCTCATCCATTTGTGCTCTACTCGCGCTTGAATTTCCGCAAGGAATTTGTCGAACATGTCTGCGTTATCCGCAACAATCTGACCCACCATTTTTTTGGCTGAGTTGTGCTCGATGAACCGGTCCCATGAATGCTGCAGGAAGAGAATAAACACCTCTTGCTCTTGCTGTTGCCCCAAACGATGGAGGCGTCCAATGGCTTGAATGATTGTGTTGACGTTCAAGGCGGGCTCAACTAAGATTACCGTATTACAATCGCCATGCAGATTGAGGCCTACACCTCCGCATGCATATGTTGTAAGCAAAACTTGACAGTCATGCGCTGGGTCGTTGAAATTCCGAGCGGCCTGCTCACGCTCGTCGGCATCCATGCCAGCGTGAATAACAAGCGCCTTGAACTCCAAAAGGTCTAGCAACAGGAGTGCAAGCCATAGAGTCATAGGACTCTTCAAGAACACTAGGCATTTCTTGCCTTTCTTCTGTGTCAACAGCTTGACCAGATAACAAAGTTTGGGCGCAGATCGGGCCAAATAGAGGGCCATCTCGGCCCTCGAGGCCGGGGGCACCGCACAAGTCTCCCTCGTTGAATTTGCATAATAGAATGATGCTCCTACATCACCAAACTGGTTCTGCCATCGTCTGACTTCACTCGCCAATGTAACGCGAAGTCGATGGTCCAAGATGTACAGTTTGGGATCAATGCAAATAGCGCTTAGCATGCGAAAAATATGCATGTTCATGCGAGGCCTGTCCTTGTTCGCCTCAACACCAGGATGCAGTTCAGGCAGTAGTCTTTCAAAGTACAAGTCGTGCATCGTCTTTGAAAATTCCGTATGTTCGATTTCCACAGTAGTAATCTTATACTTCGGAATAGTAGACCCAACCGCCATAATCGGAAGGCTCGCATCTTGATTGTTTACCGTCAGCGTGCTCATCCCACGCGCAATGGAAATTGCCGCCATTATGCGTGGGACCAGCAGGTGGGAATCCACAGATTCCAAATCCCCCTTCACCATCAGCGTCTTGAACAAATTCGGATCCAGTAGTTCAACCGGCACAATTTTCCGAGCCATAATATCCTTTTTGCATACTTTGCGAATTTGATATCTGATTTCATCCTTGGCATCAAAGCTGTTCCATTTGAAAACAGCCCACTCCTCTTGATGAATCAACTGCAGGTAACCCATCAAGTCTGAAACCTTATTTAAAAATGGAGTGGCCGTCAAAAGCCACACAGACTCATACGACATGGAGCGCCAATGTTGATTTTGCTTGGCAGAACTGTTCTTGAGGTAGTGTCCCTCGTCGCAAATGGCTCGAGCAAATGCACCGTGAAATTTGCAGACTAAAGAAATGTCAGTATTCTATAATAAAATGGGCTATATGCTAGGTGCACATTCCAGCCCAGGCCAGGTGTAGACTGAGCCCAGGCTGGAAAGTAATAGCAAACTCACCCTGAGAAGGAGATTCTTGGTTGGCGCTGCTTTCTATGGCTTCAGTTTCGTGTTCAGTGTCATCTTCGGTGGTTCTGGTGCGGTGATACCAGGTTTGATATGTGGTTAATACGACGACTAGAGAAGATTTTGGGTCATCTGGGGTATGCTTTGTAAGGATTGTTGAAATGTCATCCACGGTGTGGGTCTTGCGGAAAGTGTCGGTAGTGCTTCTGGCATTCGACCCGTGAAAGATGTATAGCGTAAGGAGGCCGGAAAAACGAGTTTTGACTTCTGTGGTCCAAACATCCAGACAGGCGTTATTGGCCACTATAATTGTTGGGCGGTGGTTCGATGTGCGCTTGATTCCAGCTAGGTATACCAGGGATAATGCTTGGATTGTTTTGCCCAAGCCGCACGAGTCATTTAGTATGCCGGACTTTATTTTGGACTCTTCTTGTCTAATCATCCAAGAGACGCCCTCCACCTGCCAGGCTCGCAGAGTAAGATGTTGGCCAATTGACGGTTTTTGAGGGTCCAGGCCTAGATGTTCGGCGGCAGCTAAATAACGGGCACGGATGCGTGCTTTGTTTTGTTCGCCGACCTCAATGGAGGTCTTGATCCGTAAGGTGGCTTCGTCTCCAATATCAGTCTCTTGACGGTTTTCGTTGCATTCAATGGCTGCCGACATGGATGCGCTCATGTCTAGTGTCACGTCCTTCACATCTTCATTGGAGGCCTTTACCAAGCCTATAATGTTGGATATAACTAGTTGCCGAGTCTGGTTGGTCATCAATTGTCTAGGTGCAACGTTGGTGGCACTTTTGACTAAGAGAATGCCAACCCGACGTTGGCTCTCTGACTCACCCATCGCGTCGTCGCGGATTTCTTCAAGCTCTTCGACTTCATCGCATTCAAACTTGGCATCAAGGTCGGCTAGCAAATGTTAATTGGGTAACCAGGTTGGAGGGGAGTACACATACAATGGGGGACGGTTGATTCAATGAGTAGTTTTTCCAACGTATTTTCCTTTGAGTTAGTTTCGGGGTCTGCCTGCGTTGGACCCGTACTAAAGGCCGGCAGGACCGCAGGCTTGCTCTGTTGTCTAGTAGACTTCGTCGCAGCATAGGACTTTTGATAGTTACAGCACAGGGCATAGGCCCTGTGCACATCCTCTGCTTGTATTTGTGCGCCGAATTCGCAGGGCTTCGAACCCTCAAAACAATCCAATTCAGATTGCAATATGATTTGGATAACTGTCCAAGCGTAGAAACGTTGTTCGGTTGCTGCATTCTTTTCAGCTGTCGACGGTCTTGTTACACTCAACAGTTCTTTATGCTCTAGCTTATCCTCCAAGCGGGCAATAATCTGGTTTAGATTTTTCGTAGAAGCCTTTCCCTGTAACCGAAACTCACCAACCCAGTCTTTTAACAATGTCTTAACCGGATCTTTGTCGATAATATCGTCCAAAGCCGAAGTCGAACTTAAGCCCAGGTAGCCCGCCATTCGCGGGCGTGAACTTCGCAGTAACGCATTACCTTTTCCTGCATTAGTCAACTTTGACTGTTGCAAGTCTCCAATAATCTTTATTTCTATCATCGAGTCAGTATCCACTAGATTCCAGCCTAGGCTCGAATACATACTCGGTGCCATTTTTGGTGCGGCCACACTTGACAGCTAGACCAATTCCAAACAGGCAGAGTCTGAGAGCACATGTCAGCCTGGGCTCAGTTTGATTATGTAATCCCACAACCCCAGCCAGTTCCTGCAGGAACTCTGTTTATCACTCTTATTTCATTGGGTACTGACCAAAACAAGCAGAAACGGATCTGTAAAGCTTGAGATATCAAATATTAGCATGTTTCCTGTCATTTAAAGCAGTAAGAGGGCTTAAAACGTACCTTTTGCTCAAATTTTGCAAGAGTTATTGGTGAAGCTGTTCTTGACAGGAGAAGAAGGAAAGAAGAAGGTGAGATGGTTGATATCAGTGAGAGAAGTCCTGATAGCGGAGCTAACCAGATTAGGAAAGACGTCAATACTGACGGCAGTATCCTGATTATGTGAGCATAACTAGCTTGAGCCCAGGTTGGAAAGAGTGTATATGCCTTGATATAAAGGGATATAAGATGGGTATGAAGGATGTGTATTTTTAGCCAAGACTGGAATGTGGTGGGTTTGCTTTGTATGCGGGTATAAAGAAGGCATGTTTGAATGTCTTGGAATGCTGCATGTTGCCATGCAGTGTTTGATGTTGGCCCAGACTGGAATGTGGTGGGTTTGCTTTGTATGCGGGTATAAAGAAGGCATGTTTGAATGTCTTGGAATACTGCATGTTGCCATGCAGTGTTTGATAAAGTATAACACGTGATGTGTGATGTGGGGATGTGGATGATTAGGAGAGTTTATGAAGTGGCTTACTAAGCGACGAGTCATATAAATAAATGTATATGTGGGGATGGCGATATAATATATGATATTGGATATGCGGAATAGTTAACATGAGCCCGGGCTGGAATATGGTTTCGTGATGTGGAGTTAAGATGTATAAAAAATAAGAAATATATGGTAGGACATGAGGGCGTTGACGTAAGTGAGTGTGCACTTCCAGGTTTCGAAGATAATCTTCACAGGCTGAATGTTCCTCCACGCCCAAAACGAACCTTGCACTACATCAGGGCAGGGCAGTGCAAGGTATTCTTCCATCTCACTCGTCTCTGGCATGTTGATGCCGATAAGGGCCTGATAACGGGGGATTCTGAATGCAAAGAATACCACGGTAATGACCAGCATATCATGAGGACACTTTTCACGAAGATTGATGAAGTCGCCGTGAAACGGTGCCTTGAGTGGTAGGTAACACGAAAAATGTATATGGCCGCCTTTAAAATTATGTCGTCTCCGAATTCGGCCGGCGATAAAAGGCAGATCGCCAGTTGCCGGTTTATCCAAGCAGACGTCCATCGTATGGGTGGAGGGTTTGTCGTGGAGCTGGCACCAGATGCACCCAGAGTTGAGGGCAGTACACATTTTGTGCAGTATGGTTGTATCAATAAATGTGGTATTGGTTGTGGTTTTAGTAGCGCGGGGGGGCATTAGCAGTGGCGGCGTGGTAGGTATACTTGGCTGTCTTCCACTACAGGCAGAGCACGGCGGTAAATTATGGACTTCACAGTACCTCTGGGATGGGGAGGCATGGCCATCAAGATAGCTATCGAGGACAAGATTGAGACATTCGGTATTAGACATGTATCGCGCCAGCCTCTGGAGCTCTTTGTCGCGGCTGGTACCAAGTTGCAGCACCTTGGTAGCCGTTGTAATAATTGTGGAATGGGACTGAGAGCCCGGGCGTCGCCCTCCTCGAGAAGAAGACTGTGCTAGATCAATGAGTGAAAAGGAACCTTCCCAGTGGATGACGTTGTTGATATGGCCAAAGTCAAGGCCTGTTCCAAGACCCGACGTGGCAACCACCACTTGAATCTCTCCTTTACCTAGTCCATCGATTATACTCCGACAACGATCAGAGGCAATTCCAGTATGGAAAACAGGGCAGTCGAGTAATGTCCCAATCTCGTCCGCCACGGATTTGTTCATGGTATATACGATAGTGCCCTGGCGAACCAGTGGCAACAAGGCATTCCGTGCGTCGGTTGTTGTTTTGGAAACGATAACAGCCCGCCGAATATTGTCGCGCCGGCAAGACATCCTCAAGATGCTCATATCCGTGTACCTCAAGACATTCTTTAATCTAGGCTCGTCGTTTGGCGGCAGTGAGCCGGATAGCAATAGGAGGGGCGCCCCCAAGACCGACATCCATGCCATTTCCGCAAGCTGCTCACGCCATTTGATATCATAGAGATATACATGAGCTTCGTCTAAAACAACCCGGGCCAAATGACCCTTTGACGCCAAGGCCTTTGCCCATGCCTTAAATGAGAATTGCAGTGCAGCCTCGGGTGTAATAAATATAACACCCGCCCTTGCCGCGTCATGAGGATTAGTCCAAATAGCAGAGGCAATACCAGAGCCCTTTGCGCGAGACAATTGCTCCTGCCGCAGTGCAACAAAGGGGGAGATGACAATAGTAGTCTTCCCGGTATTAAATATTGCACTGACAAAAATGATGACGCTTTTGCCAATGCCCGTTGGCATCACCACCAGGAGACTACCAGTGCCAATAGCATGAATTGTAGCCTCGCGTTGTAATTCACAGCGCCACTCCGCCTTTGGTCCATATAGCCGTTTAAGACCTTCATCAGCCATGTCCGCGGCTGTTACATCACGTGACGTGTCAATATTTATTGGGTCTTGTAAATTTTGTGGTATCACCTCCATGATCCCTTCGCGTGCAGGCGAAATTGGCTGCATCTTGTGATTGTTACTGCTTGGTGTAGGAAGGTTCCAGCCTGGGCTGGAATGAGCGAGGTTTGCAGCGATATCTGAGTGGCTTGAATTGGGTGCAAGAGTGTGTATATCTGGTGTGTGTGCCCGACGTTTACTTGGTGGCGGAGTAGGTGCGGGTCCAGGATTGTGAAATGTTTTTGGACGTGGCCGAGATGGGTTGAGGTCGAAGAAGGTGTGGTAGGTTTGACTGGCCGTTTTGAATTCGGACAGGGACTCGTCGCTTAGGGAAGCAAGAGACTCGAAACTAAGGGCATAGTGGCGGGCTTCAGTGTCTGGGGTATGCCCGGCCTGTAGAATGTGGGATATATCTTTTATATCATTGCGCCGTAGATGCCGTTTGTCGATTGCAATGGCGATATGTCGCCATTGCGATAGTGTAATATTGCCAATGTAGTTGCTGGCCACGTTAGACATAGTCTTGGAGATGGCGGACGTGAAGAGGGGGAGATTTTTTGTTGGTACGTTGAATAGCAGTGCCTCTCTGCCTTCGTATTCGAGGGGGGACGGACCGGATTGTAATGCGCGGATGAAACTGATAAATGGTCGTACCCGGGCGAGGTAATAAATAACCATAGCTCCTAGGGAATGTGGTAGAGTCCGCAGGATAATAACCGGGTGCCCAGAGACACTCTCTGTCTTGTTGTAATCACAAATGACAGCCAGGGTTCCGTCATGGATGAATAGCCCGCGGCTAAGGTTGCCAGTATTTTGAGAGTTAATGGCGGACAGCTCGGTGCCTCTCATTGGCATTCCACAGGTAACGACCATCGCCAGGGCGAGGTGGTTGATAAAGACGTCACATTTATTCAGGTATAAGTCTACCTTCTTTGATTGGATAGTGGTTCCCTCGAAAAGCTCGGCATATGCTTGCTTAATTGTTTTAGCAACGCCATCACACAGGTACCGCCTAGGAATTGAGGTATCCTGCTTGGGACAACAAGCCTCGATAAGTCCATGATCTCTCACCATATATGACCAATTATCAGTATATCGAGTGGGGCAATGGAGGGTTAAGTCCATTGCGAATTGACCTTCATCTTGAAAGCTAACCGCCAATAGCGCGTCTCGACAACGTTCAATGGTATTATGTATGAATCGTTTGATATCGGTGATTGCCATATCCATACCATCAAAGGTTAGGCTCATTGAATCGTCAGCCCACAATACATTAGGCTTATTATAATAACTCTTGGCAAATGTCCGGGCGAGTTGTTTAAGGGAGAGTAACTCTCCAAAGACTGTTGGTTCGTCACACGCCAACCACTTCTTGCATTCTCTCTTTATAACCGCAATACTTTCGTTGCGGGAGAGATCATGGCATCCAGTTAGAGAGGTATAGAGAATAAAAGCCCGTATGGTATACACAAGGGCCGACATTAGTGGTGTAATATGTGAGGGCGGATGCCAGCGCTGAGCCTTAAAGTCCCAGCTTCGTATACCCAATAGCAGTATAATTGGCGACTGTGAAAATTCTGCATCCATCTTAAAGATGCTAGAGAAAAGCACATGGACTGCCTGGGTATCCATGTGGGATATTCCAGCCTGGGCTGGAATGAGGACCGAGTCATGCAAGGAAAGGGTAGGAATGATGTTGGGAATCTTGGCCCATGCCAAAGTTACGCGGATGAGGTCTCGGGCGGCAGAGATATACTTGGCCTTGGTTGCAGCAGAGAGGATTTTCAGGGGCTTTGTTTCCAGTTTTGGTGTTGTGGAATAGACGACACGGCGGATATATACTTCCTGGGTAGCCACCACGGCAAAGACCTGATCTAGGATGGAGTTGACGTATATGTCTGAAGATCCTGGGTCTAGAAAAGGCTGGAGACTTGCCATATTAATACCTTGAAATATCTGGGGCCAGGGGGCGCGTTTATCCCATTCAGTCATGCGATCCATTATTGGCGCAATTGTGATATTTTTGGCTCTATTTGCCTGGTGCTGGTTGTATTGATCCATAAGATACTGGATATTGGGGGATATGGGTGTAGGAGTATGGATGGGGAAGAAGCGCATCCGGGACGGGAAAATATTGCAGATTTTACTCTCAATAATTTTGGTGGTGTTACCAGACCATTGGTGTTTGCTTATATGTTTAAGCATTGTTGTATGTTTAGTACCAGCATAAGTACAGCCGGGAAAGGTGCATCGAAAACCATCCATAATATTTAGAAAAGGGCTTTCGCCCTTTTCCTCAGCTGCTATAATATCATCGAGATTATTACCAATAGCTGGAAATTTAGCAAAGCCTGCGGCTATGATATTGGCTTCTTTAGTATTTAAATTATGGTGTTCTCGTAAATGATTTGCGACAGATGTAGCAATCACACCTGATTTACATTCTTTGCAAATCAGAAGCTTACGTGGCTCATCGAAAAAAATGACCTGATACCATTAGTTGTTGAGAAAAGAAAAAGGAATCCAAGTCCAAAATTTATTTGGACTCACGGATTCCATGTCAAGTGTAGAGAAATAGTCTTGTATATAGCAAGTATATAGTTCACATTAAAACGGCAGTATTATTATAGTATTAAGCTTATGTTGATTCTAGCCTAGGCTGAAATGTATGAAGGTCAACTAGCCTGTAGCGGCTTATGGTATAGCAGGTTATCTAGGGTAGAAGTTTGGTAAGGAGTAAATAATGCAGTATGGAGGAGATTTCAGCCTGGGTTGGAAACCAGTCTAACCGTTTTTAGAAGGAGGGTTGACAAGGTGAGAAGAATAAGAAGATAGAAAGGTGAAAAGGGTCCTTTTATATTAAAACTAGGGAAATGGATCACCCAGATCACCTAGCTTACTCATCACCTAGATCACCCAGATCACTCATCACCCAGATCACTCATCACCCAGATCACTCATCATCCAGATCACTCATTACCCAGATCACTTATCTCCCAGATCACTCACCCAGATCACTCATCACCCAGATTATATAAGCAGTTGGTATAGCTGACGTAATATGAACGGGCCCAATTCTTAAGGCCCCATTCCAAGTGGGTCTTATAAGAGGGGCCACCTCTAAATATGGTAATGATCGACCAAATGATTGGCTGAGAGTGTTCTGGAATTGGGAGCCCAGTCGGGAATAGGGCCCCATTCCCATTTCTATGGGGACAGAACTATTAGTAATAGTTGTTATATTTAAGAGATGGAAATAAGAATTATAAGGAACTAAATACCGAGTTATAGTAATAAGCGATTACTAGAATCTAATATACTTTATAATAATAAAAGAATTAACTCAATAATAATTAAAATAGTATATAGAAACCTTGGTATACTATAACTTTAGAATATAATATTATAAAGGAATAGAGAACGCTTTTACAGACGCACTAAGTAGAAGACTAGATTTAATAATAAAATGGCGAGAATATAGAGTAATCTTATATCTAGACCTAGATACTAATAATATAATCTTAGATACATAAGTATTAAGGGCCACTAGGATAGTCATATCCGATGCGGATACTCTAGAAGCTAAGGTATAGAAGTACTTAGAACGAGACCCCTTAGTTAGAAGGCTCTCGGGCTCAAGCAAGTATTATAGATAAGAGAATAGTTTACTCTTATACTAGGGATTAATATATATACCCAAGGAAGTACGACAACGAGTACTAAAAGAAAGTTATAATAATCTAAGTACAGGATACTTTAGAATCGAAAAGACTATAGAACGAATTACGAGATCTTATTATTAATTAGGAATATAGAAAGATATCCAAAGATATATATAAGAATATAATATATACTAAAGGAATAAGGATAATCGACACGTACCTTATAGACTACTATAACTAATACTATATAAGGATATACTATAGAAATCTATAGCGATAGATTTTATTATAAAACTACTAAAATCGAAAGAGCTACGAACGGGTATATAATACAATATAATAATAATAATTATAAATTAACTAACGAAGTATACCTACTTTATTCTTTTTATTAAAAAAATAATAGTATCGGATACGGTATATATACTCCTAAAATAAGTATTTATAAATTACAGACTACTAGACAAAATTATATTAGATAGAGATACAAGATTTATAAGTAAGTTCTAGATAACACTTACCGAATAAATAGGAATTAAATAGAAAATATCTACGGCGTATTACCCTTAAACTAACGGATAAAGTGAACGAATAAATTAGACTATAAAATAATATCTAAGATATTATATTAACTATAAATAGAATAATTAGGTTAAATTACTACCAATGGTATAGCTCGCCTATAATAGAGCTAAGGTAGCCTTAATAAGTATAATACCTTTCTTTATAAATTACGGAAGAGAACTAGAAATAATAAAAATACCTAGAAAAGCGAAGACTCACGCACAAGAAGCGGAGATATTAGTAGAAAAACTACAATTACTATATAAAAATAAAAAAAGAGATTTGGAATTCTTGAGTTATAGAATAAGTAACTACTACGATAAATAATATATAGAAGCGCTAACCTTTAAAAGGGGAGAGAAAGTATTCCTACTATAACGGAATATTAAAATATTAAAACTAAATAATAAACTAGATTATCGAAAAATCGGACTATTTAAGATTTTAGAGAAAACTAAATAAGTTAACTATAAACTCTAATTACTGGAATATATAAAAATACACCTAGTATTTTATATCTTATTAATTAAAAAAGTACCCTAGGATACCAAACTATATGAATTAGAAATCTAACAAGAAAACTAAGAACAAGAATACGAAGTAGAAAGAATCCTAGATAAGAAAAAGATTAACAGAAAGATTTACTACTTAGTAAAATAGAAAGGCTACAATAATTTAGAAAATACTTATAAGCCTATGCGGAACCTTTAGAACGCGACTTAGGTAGTTAAAGATTATCACCGAATACTTTAAGCAACTAATCTAAGGACTAGTTAGAAATAGAGAAATCGGAAGAAGCGATAGCACTAGAATCCGAAGAATTAAGAATCGTAGTATTATAAGAAAATATCGTAAAGCGACAAGCTTTTAACTACTCCTAATAACGCCGAAGTTAAGTATATTTATCTAGATTCCTAGATAAAATATTATAATAATGAGTAAAAGCAATTTATAAATAACGGATTTTATCTTAAGCTATCTGGATATTATAATTACGGGCACAAAGATAGGAAGCGACTTACTCCTCTTTATTTTTAATCTTCTACTACTCTATAGTATTAAAGACACAATTATAACAGGGCTAACCGGAATAAATATAGCTAGAACACTTTTTTGATTTTAAATCTATTACAACATATATAGAACTTAAAGAAAAGTAGCTAGAATAAGGAAACTTAACAGAACTACTATAATAATCAATAATATTAGCTTGCTGAGCACGTTTATAATAATAATTACGTGGGATAGAAGTAATATATAGACGAGAACTATAGGAACGACGCGCCATGATTAAAAGTACTATAATAAGGAAGAAATAACTTACTAAACTTAATATAACGGGGAGACACTCACTATTTATATAAGAAGAAGAGTTAACGACCGGGATAATTTGTTAAAAGAGGAGGGGATAATATTATAGACTATCTATAGCGCAGCCTAGATAAATATATTTATTAGATAACAAGGTTCCGGCACGGAAGAACCCTATAGATCACGTGATATTAAAATAGTCTAAAATATCAAAATTGGGATAGTTCAATATAGACTATAACTAAATAGTCCAAAATAGACCATGGGAGAACAGTCTATTATAAATCATAACTAAATAAGAGGAAATAGACCTTTAGGACATATATATAAAGATATTTATTTTATACCTTAATTAAGAGCTATCTCTAATACTTAAGATCAAAGCCAACTTTATAGTAAGCTATAGCTTTATGGTACTAGTTAATACACATATACTTCCCTTTATCTATCTAATATCTCTTAACACCTTTATACTAGACTTAACTAGTGTACTAGCTTTATTACTTATAAGGATCTCAGAGAGTATATATATGCTGAGCCAGACTTAGAGCTATCGCCTTAAAGTCGGATACCGGAGTATCCTTTCTATAGTAAATGAGCACCGTTTATACTCTAACCTATCTATAGAGCACCTTGAGTTATACCTTTCCTCGAGACGCCTCCCTTATCCCTATAAGAGAAGCCCACCTTTGTAGCATTGATCTTAACTTCAGTGCCTACAAACTGAGCCGCTCTGTAGCATAAGGCTTAAGTAAGCGCTAATTTAGCTTAATTAGATAAGCTATAGTATTATATATATAAGTAGTTGGTATAGCTAATATAATATAAATAGGCCCAATTCTTAAGGCTCTATTCTAAGTAGATCTTATAAGAGGGGCTACCTCTAAATATAGTAATGATTGACTAAATAATTAGCTAAAAGTATTCTAGAATTGGGAGCCCAGTCGGGAATAGGGCCCCATTCCCATTTCTATAGGGACAGGAGGTTGAATTGAACACGAAGGATTTTGTTAACCCGGAACTTTAATCCCGAGAATAACACGAGCCTAAACACCCGCAGTCGTTTCGGCGACTAAATTTGGTCGGCATAACGGCTGGAACAGAGACACCAGACTCTTTTCTAGGGGTCTCGATAGTTCTCGGCTGTATAGAGTATTTAACAATCAAACTTGCCCGTAGTTATATGGTTCAATTATATTCTTTTAAGATTAATTGAGACAGCTAGCTTTATCTTTTGCCATGGATCTCTCGGCTACAGTATAAGTTTAGCAGTGTTTAGAAGATCAATTAGTTTCAAGATTAGCTAAGTCTAGTCATAGTAAATCAACCCTTGAACAGTACCATAAGAAAGACTATCATCCATCAGGTAAATAGCTCCAGACAGAGTCAACCCCCAAATTGCAGAGAAAATAGACAGACCGTCACTATTAATGTTCAGATTATTGCACCTTCTTTGCCTTCACCTTTGTCCCTCTTCGGCGCCTTAGGGCATCCGGAGTATATTCGGTGTCAAGGAGATAGTCCCACCAGCGGAAGCTGCTTGAGTAGTTCCCAATGAATTTCTCATGGTGGAGGTCGTGGTGATCAGCACCAGCCCAGAAAGGCAAGAAATGATGAAGACTCCAAGGAAACTCATAGCCACTATGGGCATCAATAGCCTGGAACAAGCGCAACACAATCCAGATATACATAGTAAGAATATGTAGGTTACCGGTGAAAGCACACCAGAGCATTGGACAGCTGACGGTCCCGAAGCCAAGAATCATCACTTCAATAGGAGAAGCATATTCGGCGGCCAAACCAAATGGTGCGGAATACTGATGGTGAATTTTGTGAATGGTTTTGTAGAGTGGACCCCAATGAAGAGCTCTATGGAAAAAATAGTGCCAAGTGTCCTCCATCACGAAAAATATTGCAATCTGATATATCATAGTCCAGAGAGGCGGAAAAGGAATCGATGTTGATAGACCGCAGAACCGGGCCATTGGGTGGAAAAGCCTAGAAGAGCCGTTACTACTTAATTGGGCCCGAGAGACAAACTTCTGGTAGAATACCACTCCGTTGAGGGCGGGAACATACCAGATTTGAGGAAGTTCGACGGTGAAGTGACTCAGAAGCACAAACTTGGCGCAATCCCATTGCTCGCGTAATGAAGGCACCTTGCTCTGAAGCAGGATGTTAGTGTCGATGGAGGCTGAAATTGGGTTGATTTCGGCTAGTGCCAGGTGTTAGGCTTGCCACGTACACTTTGAATCTTGTATCTCTTGAAGAAACCCAAGCTATCGATGAAGATCCAGGGAAGAGAGCGGCCGAAGTAGAACAACTCGTGGATAAGGAAAGACATGATGCCGGTGGCCAGGACATCATTCTGCACCCACGCATACCATGCGACCCACAATCTCTCTGCCACGCTCAGGTGGGTATTGAAAATGGTGATATCCTGATATTTGCCCCAATAGGTGCCGGGGGGCAGCACGGGAGAATTCCTAGGAGAAAAAGTGTCAATATGCGACATATTCCACAAAAGTATAATTCAACCACCCAGGGCGGGGGTGCAAAAAAGTGGAGTGGATACGGACATTGTGGTTCCTAGCAGGTCGTGAATAAGAGAGAAGCAGAGGCTGGGAGAAAGATAAGCCTATTTCGCGAAGAGGGGAGTAAAAAAAAGATCTGGGCGAGAGTACAATATACTATATAACTAGTGTACAGTATATTCCCCTTTATTAAATCTTAACCCTGCTAAATTAAATATACCACATGCAGGAAGGTTCCAGGCAGCCAAACACAGGCGGGCAAATACGCATTATCCGGATCGGTGGGGCTCGGATAGCTATCGGCCGTCCGTGGCCTGACCTTTGCGGCGCTAATGACTTTTGTGTTCCGGCTCCCGGTCCTGCTATCCGATCTAACTACAGGGTGTTCTATTTATGGGCCTTCGCAGGGTCACTGGTATCTCTCCTGCGATCAATTAGCGTCTGGGACGTTGCCCAGCCTATTACCGAGATAGTGAGTGACTAATATTACAAGGGTTATGTTGATTACCTGTATGTCAAGAAGAGATCGATGATTTGATTGAGATATCTGTGGCTCACCAAATGTAGGCGTAACGAGGCTAACACATTATTAACACTATACAAAGAATAGATAAAGGGCTTTGGATTGAGTTACTTATGAGTCCAGCATCGTATTACGATAATCCACTCTTTCTATCCATGCTCTGTAGTAAGAGGAGCATCAGCAAAAATGCGAGAAATGATTCACTTGACACGCCATCTTTTAGTTAACCGTTCTCAGTCCAGGTTTGCGTAACGTTCAAGAGATGGAATAGAACAAATTGGCCTCAAAAGAGACGCCAATATCTCTATATCAAGAGTATTTAATCAGCCAGTTTGATATTTCGAATCGATCTTCGCTTCTGCGTGTTTTTAACATGCATACTAGTAAAAAGCACTGCGCAGAAGTGTCCATTCTAACTGGTGGTTGCCGGGTCGCCACCCTACCCCGACTGGCATACAAATCCCAATACTGTATGCCCCCTGAAAAAAGAGATTTAGAAAGTTTCCCAAACGAACTTTGCCCACTCTTCTAACTCTGCATTGTTAAATATTATATCAGCCTGGTTTCTAACTGCGGTTCGAAGGAAAAGATCTGTGAAGGGAATAATTAAAGGACCGCCGGCTATATGAACAGGGCTTTTCTGCCCACGTTTCTCGACGGTGATAGTTTGGAGGACCGCCGCCCTTGTGATTCCCGAGCGGCCATATCTTTGAACTGTGAGCTTGGTTCGAGACACCTTGACGGTAAGGACCATCTTTACATCGCCAGAAGATTTCTGAATCCACCGTCTCGCGACCCTGTCAAGGTCACTATGGCTTTGCGATTTTCCCGTTTCTATAACAAGGGTTGGCCATTTGGGTGTCCTCCCAACGGGGAGATTAAGCGGTCGGACGGCGTAGTCCGGCTCCTTGTGCTCAATAGTTGCAGAGCCAATGCCCACAAGATATGCATGAAACTTCATGCTCATTGATGAGATCTTGGCGACCATTTCTTCCTGAATCCATTCTGTAGCTACTTCATGTGCTTGTGTCAACATTTTTGTAATTAAGATCTTGGATTTTGTAAAAAACTCTCGTCGCTTGATTCCCTTTTGTTTGCAGTCAAGGAGGATAAGACTGTCCACAACATCATGAAATACGCAGTAGCCGCCGCTCCCGTCATCCACAGAGCGGGCTGCAGCTTCCATCTGAGACGCGCCTTCATATTTAAAGACTGGTGTGTCCTTCGGCAAGCATTTCAGGGCATCTTCGGCCTCACTGTCCCAGCGGCAGCACTTTTCTGGACCAGGTTGCTGCTGCCATAGGAAAGATTCCACGCTTTGGGGATGCAGATTCATTTTATTCTTATTCCTTTTTATTTTACTTTTTTTTTTTTTTCTGAATTTCTCTCTCTCCTTGTTCTCAGAAGGAGAAATGCACGTCAGCTTGCACTCAAGATATGGTATATATATTGATAAGTATACAGTTGGAGTGTAATATTTATTTTCGTTTGCGCCTTCGATAGCTAGATATGTGTTTTTAATCACTAGTTATCGGGTGAATTATGATGTTTCTTTAAGCTTTAGACTTTACACACATTCGTCAACTTCGCCTTCTGTGGGGCCAAGGCGGAGACATTCAATCAATCTAGATTCTATCTATAACTACCTCAGGCAGCTTTGACATATGCGAGCACCCGAAACAATTCTTCTGAATGGCTATGGGCTATTGATAGTTGACGATAAGTTGGAGCTAACTAGATATCTATAGATTCATGGCTTCTGGATACATTTAACTAGCATATTAGTTCTATCACTCTCTAGATCTGTAAGTTTTCCCGCGGTAATAGTTAGTTCGGAATATAGTTCCAGCACAAGTACTGAGGACGACTGAAGCCATCTTAGCCTCACTAAGCAATCAAAAGCTCCTCGCAAGTGAACTCTGGCAACAGAAACTTTCTATCCCACTCATGCACGAACTGCCACTCCCACTTATCACCGTTGTTCGATGCCACGACAACCATCATCGAACCCTCAGCTTCCCCCTGATATTCAAACGGACGCGGCGGATATACAGCATCATTACTAGTCCGGCCTCGAAGGGCAGGCATCAAAAGTGCAACCCAGCGAAACTTCTTAAGCACCACCCCAATAACAGACCGGAGATGGTGCATGCTTTCCGGGTTCATTCGCTGGTTGGCCCCTACATTATAGACACGCCAGTAAACCAGGTCTTCAGGACCAGTATAACTCTGCAGTGTGAACTCCGAGGTCAGTTGGTATAGTTTCGATCTTCGAATCCGACAGGTAAGCCATTCGGCCTTGAACCCTTGCGGAGTTATGGTACCATGTAGACTACTCTGGCCGTCAAATGCAGGGTACTGTTTCTCGTTCTTGGTTTGATCGGATGTCGTCGCCGCGGAAGGAAGCACATTCGGTCGTTCAGGTGCCCAGCTGAACCCGCGCGCCGTAAGTCTCGGTGTCCCTGATACGAGGAACCCTGTAGCAAGCGACTGGCCAACCGTCGAAGCCCAGAAATCCTCAGCCTTCTTAGCAATCTTTTTCGACGCGCAGACGAGACTCCAGATTATAATTAGGTCGCGTTCCTTGGTTACGTGCCGGTGATTCAAGAGACAAGTCGCTTGCTCGGTCGTCACGGGCTCGATCATATCCAGGCCGCTGACTTCGTATTGAGTTGGCGTGTAATGGTATATCGCTAGAGCGGGGGAGATAAGCGAGAGAGTGCTCTTTGCTGTCACGTCACGGAGTACATCCATCAGGGAAATGACATGGTTATTCTTGCAGAGGATGTGCAGTTTCATGCGTCCGCGCATGCCCTCTAGAAGCGTCCAGCCACGCACATTCCAATCGCAAACGACGAGTGTGGCTAGAATAGCCTCTTCTGCTTCTAGTGTTAACGGGTGGATATCAATTTGCATAAGGTCACGATCAACGAGGAGGGTAACCTTGCTATTCATGAAGTTATCGTTTATCTGACCGATTGCTTCATCGCGGAGGTCATCGGGGGTCGGAATGCAGGGCGTGTCCATCCAGTAAGAGCTACAGCCAAGGGATCGAGCAAGCCCGCTGTACCTTCTGTGAAGGCAGATATTGAACCCCGTCTCTGGACGACCGCCCTGCCCGTGGCTCCAGACGTGGGAGATAGCCATGTTCTCGAAGGAGAGCGGGCGGTATCGGAGGTACTTGTCGTCTGTCTGGTCGAGGTCAACAGCTCTCGCTACGCCTTTGATGCTTCGATATGACTGCTCGTCCCAGGTCAGGAAGGTACATGTTTCTCCTGTCGAGTTGGGACACGCAAAGTCATGCGCCGATTGGATTTGCACATCGTCTGACTCGAATCTCTGACAATTTCCGGGCGCTTTTCCGTCACAAACTCTCTTTCTATTTCCAGCACGCCCACTAGAAGAAGTGGTAGAAATATTACAGCGAGACGGTCGCCCACCAAACTGTCGCTCGAATGCCTCGAAAAGGGCCCGGAAATCCTGCGTCACAGCGCTAAGATCAGAACGAAGCAGCTCAAACGCCCATTTGCACATGTATTCCGGTCTAGATCGTTCAATTATCTCTCGCGACGGCATAACCGACGGGATCTCTCGCCAGATTATACTATTATGTCGCTCGAACATATATCCCAGCTGCAGAACTGTTGAGGCGTCGCACCAAAGCTGTAGCATCACTGTGTGCTGCCAAGCTGCCCATAAATATGCCTGTACAACGAACCACGCCTGGGAATCGCCAATAGTGATTGCACTTTTGTATAAGTCCGCCAGTATGTCGAGAAGTTGAGCGATAGTGTCTGAATAGTCGTTGGTAATTCTCAACACAGGCTTCATAGTCAGATACAGAGCAACACGGATCGTATTAGTGCTTGGTTTAACAAAAACAGAAAGGTTTGACCATTTATATTGATTATCATTGCTCTCAGTCAAGTGTTTTGCCGGCCACCGCTCTTCCGCTATCAATGCACTGTCACACTTAAGATTCAATTCTGGAGGGTAAGCCGGAAGCCTCGAAAGTAAAGCACAAGCCCTATCGAGAACCTCCTCGTAGCTCAACTTCTTCTGGTTCATCAGAAAATTGCATGTCATCAGTGTTGAAAAAAAAGAATCTAGCCGGCCAAAATACGACTCCGTATCATCAGAGTGGCTGATATAATTAGGACCAGACGCTGTCGCGTGCTCCCCGCGGACCAAGGCAAAAGCATCCTGACACCACTGGATCATCCGCGCCTTTGTGTTGGAGGCACTGAGCTTTACAGAGCTTCCTGCTGAGCCTGTCTCACCAAAGTCTAAGGCTTTCCATTCGATAGGGAGGAGTTTCAAGTCTGTTGAGCGGTGGGTATTATCATCCAGAATGGCGCGGACATCACTCTTTGTCAGACTCCACCTAGATTGAAGGGGTTTTTCGGTCATTTTTATCTGATTTTGATAACTAACTAAAGGTAACGATAGATTGAAGACCAAGGTAAAGAGTTAAGAAGTGTTAACTTTAGATTAATGGTGAAAAGAACCTGCTGTACCTCTTACTGTTAGAGTGTAACTAACAACCTAGGTAATGAAGTACAATAGTTATCGAAGGCTTGAAGGATTTAGGAATAGAACTTAATTAGTTATCATGTGATAGCAATCTAGAGGATACAATCCATTTTCGATATCCAACTACCCCTTGATTTAGCGAGTGCGACAAGGTGACGAGCTACAAGGATGAGTAAGGCAGGGCACCGCGATAGACTGAGAATGAAATGGTCCGCAGGTAGACCTAACTAGTTAAGGTTGTTGAGCCAACCTAGCCATCCATGATCTGTGTGACAAATACGATCGATGCTCCAAAAAGTGTATAACTACACTCCGTACATTATGTGTTAATCCGTCTTTTCTAATACAGGGTTCCTTGTGCATCCCCAACTGGTGTCATCAATACATCAGCATCCTCAATGCGAAAACCCATCTCTCGAAACAGTCTCATTGCCTTCGATTCTTGGTGCTTGCAGAGCACCACCGCACACTTCTCCAGGTGGCCGGTAATGATCTGGTACACGAGACGGCCTTCTGATATCGGAACTTTCACTTCTAGCTCCATCAAGTGATGTCGGTCGGCGGCCACATCGTCGAACACAGCCTTGTATCCTTCGATCGTGAGATGCTTCCATTTTGGATTCAGATAAGGACCATATTGCTTGAGTTCATCCCAAGCAACCTGGGTGAAATTCTCAGCAAGGTCGATTTGTTTTCTGCTCCAAAGCCTTGATCTTTTGACATGGGACTGCTTTGAGCAAACGAAATAGATGTCGTCACCATAGCGGTCCCAAAGGCAGGTTACTCCGTGCGGCACATCTTTCGTGTCTTCACTGTGCCTAGCCTTTACAACAGATATCTCTCGGCCCCCTCTAGTTTTGGTCCTGAACATAAGACCCTGTGGCACGTAAACTGGGGGTTGGCTATCGTAGTAGCTGATCGGGTCCAGCTTGTCGGGATCACGGATGTCTTCACCAAGCTTGCGGAGCACGGTATTTGGGTCAGAGTCGCAGATGGACCATTGAAGGCTGATTTTATTTTTCACTTTAGCAATGACGGAAGGGATGGTAACGATCAATAAAACAAACAACTGGAGGTGAGTTGTTCCTTTTATCCTCATCCTGAAAGCTGGGAGTGCCTCTAGAACTGTAGGATAGCGGTAACTAAATAAAAGTTTAGTTATTTGAGGAGCGATAACACCATTCGACTAAAAGGTCATAACTACGCCAGTTATGCCGACAGCGCGGGACCGCTGCACTACTTATACACTTGATGGGGATGCTGCTCTGTGGTATAACTTTTCCCTCTGGCGTTACTAGCCAACGAGCTGATACCAATTCTGTTCGTTTCTTTTGCTGAATCTTGATGCCCCAAAAATGGGCCCCGTCCACACTTCAACAAGACTGAACATCACTCACGAATCATATCCCACCATCGTCGGTCAGACGTCGCCAACCCAGAAGATCCAGGCTTACAGTAGCAATCTTGTGCTCCCAAACCGCAAGCCGCCCATAAATAGTTAGCCACTGTGGGCTAGACCTATATTATCTCGACGCCTCAGAGCGTGTGCCCTGGCATACCAGCATTCTCGTCAAATACTCCGTAGTTATGTAATGCAACAGCCAGCGATAACTACTGCTTAGTATCCCTTTTGGTCGCATGGAGTGCGTGGTAGTTATCATCGCTGCCCACACACTAGATACCACAGCGAGTGACTTATTTAACTATCAGACGAAATTTAACGAGTTAGCTGCCGCACAGCGAAGAGTACGGAGTAAGATGTTGTAAAGCATTAACTTGTTAGCTTAGTCGTTCGACGCTCCTATTCCTCCATGTCGCAAACCAGGCTATCGGCTATGTAACTATGTGCAATGCCGCGCCTTGGCTCCATTTCAGGAGGCGCTAGGTGTAGCCATCAAGTAGGCTCTGCCTCTCAGCCGTTTATAGGCTATGCGGCTGTCTTTGGGTTCGTGTCTGGTATGGAGTACAACGATCTCCGGTGCTTCTGCGGCGTTTTCTCATTACCCCAAGGGCCCCCGAGGGCCTTCTAGGAAAGGTATGAGACTACACGCCTTCCTAGGGAGTTCAGACTTTTACTAGAAGAATTGTAATACAAAATAAGCCCAAAGTCCTAATAAGCATCAGCCGACCTGCGGGAAAAATCCCAGCGTGGATAGGATCCTCAGAGTGCCCTCATCCCCTGGGGGACTGCACGCTTCAGGCTTGTTCTCGGGGACACTGGTGCTGTATTTCGCTAGAATTTCAGAAGGATATACCATCATTCGATGTTGTACTAGTTAATCAACAGTCAACATTGTCGTGGTTGTTGTCGTCAAAGATCAAAGAGTGGAAACTCTTTTCATGTTTCATAATGCTTACCTAAGCAAGTGGCGAGCCAAGCTTTTTTCCTCTTTAACACGAGCCGAGGCTTTAAATTGATCTTGGCAACCTGCGGCTGATTTTCATCCTTCTTGCCTTGACTTTCTTCTTGACTTTTGCATCGCTTGCTTTGTGTTTCTGCGCCCTGCAGCGCTTTACTTTGTCATTGATCCTTCAGCCCAGCCACGCTTAGTTCGGTTGACTTGTTAGGTACCTTGTATCTCATTATATTTACGAGCAATGGGTGAAGCCGACAGCTACTTCAACCCCAGCGCTGGGAATGGCCAGCCGCCAGGGGACCAGCAGCACCAGCCCCCCCAGTACCAGCCCCAGTACCAGCACCAGCCGCAGGGCCAGCCCCAGGGTCAGCAGCAGTACACGCCTCAGCAGGCTGCATACGGCGAGCTTAGCGAGAAGCCGACGTTCGAGCAGGCCTTCAAGGTCGAGAAGCCCAAGTGGAACGATGTCTGGGCTGGCATTCTGGTATGTAGTTAACTGAAACTTACGGCTTATATGGAGTTGACCGGAGCTATCTAACAACTTGCTCCTCGCAGTTCCTCCTCTTCTGCGGCGGATTCGTAGCAGTGTCGGGCATCGCTCTTCGGGGTTATGCAACGACGAGGGACATCCAAGGCAGCGGCATCTACAGCGGGACAAACAACTTCACGCTCAATACGAGCACTCTCATTCTCTTCCTCTTTGTCCTTGTCGTTGCGGTTGTGCTTGGATACAGCTATGTCTGGCTCGCGCGCCTCTTCCCAAAACAGTTTATCTGGGTGACGGGCATCCTCAACATCTGTTGGGCCATCGGCACCGCCATCTTCTACCTATACCGCCACTACTGGACTGCCGGCATTGTTTTCCTCATCTTTGGCATCTTCCTTGCCTTTTGCTTCTGGACCTGGATCAGTCGTATCCCTTTCTCGGCTTTGATGCTCAAGACCGCCGTCGATGTGAGCAAATCGTATGGCCATGTCTACCTCGTCAGTCTGCTGGGAGGGCTGACGGCCACTGCGTTCGGAGCCTACTACTCCATTACCTTGGTCGCCATCCATGACAAGTTCCAGCCGTCCAGAAACAACCCGTCCTGTAACAGCAGCCAGGGCTGTAGCAGTGCCAAGGTCATCGGTCTGATCGCCTTCGTCACCTTTGCCATGTATTGGATCTCCGAGTGGCTCAAAAACACCATCCACACCACCATTGCCGGCGTCTATGGCTCCTGGTACTTCTTCCCGCATCATCTTCCCAGGGGTGCTACTCGCGGGGCAGGCAAGAGAGCTTTGACTACCAGCTTCGGCTCCATCTGCTTCGGCAGCTTGATTCTTGCTATCATCCAGTTCCTAAGGCATCTCTGCTCTATCGCCAGGAACCAGTCAATGCAGGAAGGAGGCATCGGAGGGGCTATTGGTTACGCAATCTTTTGTATCCTTGGATGTCTCATCGGCCTCCTTGAGTGGCTCGCCCAGTTCTTCAACCGTTATGCCTTCTGTCATATCGCCCTCTATGGCAAGGCGTATATTCCCGCGGCCAAAGATACCTGGAAGATGATAAAGGACCGTGGCTTCGACGCCCTGATTAATGACTGCTTGATCGGGCCGGTCCTCTCCTTTGGTGCACTCTTCATTGCATATGCATGCGCCCTCCTTGCATACCTATATCTGCTCTTCACTGACCCGGCTTATAACACTGACGGGAAATACACGCCCTTCGTTGTCGCATTCTCTTTCCTCATCGGGTTTCAGATTGCAAATGTCTTCACGACCCCATTGTCTAGTGGGATTGACACCATCTTTGTGGCTGCTGGCTGGAACCCGCAGGTGCTGTACCATGAGCACCCAGAGCTGTATAACGAGATGGTCCAGGTCTATCCCAGGGTGCAGCAGATGATCAGGCCCTGAATTGCCTGCCGTCATATCTCCGTCTGCCAATATTTGCTGCTACTATATATAATATGAAATACACGAGACCCAAGGAAACGGCCAGCTTAATATGAAGAAGGTAATGCGATGCTGGCTCAAGGATTAAACGTTAGGCGGCTATTTCATATGTTCTATTGAGTTCTGCTTTTTCTTATTTCATTTCTGTTATAATACTTGTTTTCAACAGACTACTCTAATATCCAACACAGATAGCTACAGATTAAATGAATACTACAGGGCTTTAGTGCCATACACGGCACCAATATATAAGCCTATCTAGGTAGATGTTGTTACCGCTTCCAGCCCGGTCATTGATTACCTAAATCGTACCCTTACCGGCAGATCGTGTTTGATTACACCGATACCCTCTCCACACCTATAAGCACGCTCACCATTAACAGTCTCTTGTGCCGTGGGTGCCACCCCTGTCTTGTGCATCATATCCCACAGTGTATAATTCACCTCGAAATCCAGCTCCCGCACTGTTAGCACCAATGAAAGTTTTATCTCCAACATTGCTAGTTCCTGGCCAATACATTTCGTGTTCCCTAGTTCAAACGGACGCCATGCATTCTTGACAGGGTACAGAGCATCACCTTCTGGGACCAGGAAGCGTTCAGGTATGAATTCCATTGGGCGGGGCCACAGGTCAGGATGGATGTGAGTCATGGTGGGGACTGTTTGGATGAGACAGCCAGCGGTCGGATACCTGACTCCATCGAGCGAGAAGTTGAAGTTGGGGCTGCCCTGGCGGAGGGTATTGGCTAAGGAGTGGATCCTCAACGTCTCCTTGATAACAGCCGTTGTATAATGCAGCTCGTTTATCTTATAAGCGTTCTGCTGAAGGACCTTTTTAGCTGCTTTGGGGTCTGACCCTAGCACTTGGTCGTGCTCAGCACGCAGCTTGTCAAGGACGCCCGGATATTTGATTATCTCGTAAAAGACCCAGCAACTATAATTAGTAACTAGTTAGTTAATTGGTTAACTACTTAGCCAATGAACATTTCGGCGGCTAGAGGGTTTTTGAAATCTTGTTTTGGACTTGGGAAACACCAACATTGTTTGCGCTGTGGTATCATGGCCGGCAAAAAGAAAGGCTTTTAGATTCGCAACGATGACATTCATCAGCTCAGCAGTCGGCTCCTGTCCGCTTTCTTTTAAATCTTTGATAGCAAGGTCTATGACTGTTTTCTGATTATTCGAGTTGAGTGTTTCCTGGAACCTCGACTCTATCTGCGGCAACAGGATATTTCTCATGACCGCAGCATTCTGTGATACGACATGCTTGAATGCCGGGGTAAGCCGTTCAAGCCTGTTCTTGATATTCTTCAACTTAACCAACGGAATTAGACTCCTCAGAGCTGTGAGCAGCGGCCCCGGTCCACGTTCCTGCTCATGAATCTGCAAATCGCTATTTCCATTAAATATTGTGTCAGATAAATGGACAAAGAGCTAAAAGTTTCCCAATATTTACGGGGCTTACAGCGTAAATTTTGCAATGACATCAAACGTCAGGGCAACAGCTCTATCGTAGAGCGTAAACATATCACTCCAGTTGTGACTATTCGCATCTGCAGTGTCTTTCAATTTCTGGGCAAAGATAAAAACCTCCTCCAAAATGGCGGGCATGTTGTGGATAACGTTTCTAGAAGAAAATCCAGGGTTCAGCCGGGAGCGCCACACTTTATGACCTGCCATGTCCATCGATATCAGGTCAATTCCGTCTGTCACCGGGGTCAGCGCCCATCCGAACATGGGATGCCTTGGCTGGGGTGTTTCCTGTGTAAGCTGCGAGCATAGCTCGGGGGCAATGACCATGATTATGGGCTGTGCCATAAAGGGCCACATATCAAGATATACCAATGGTGGGCATTTTGTCGCAGTGGGGAAATATTGCTTCCAGTTCTGCACTATTTTGGCCGATGTATACGAGCCATGAGCATCGCGTGGAAGCCCTTTTCTTAGGCTCCAGAAAAATGGAAGGTGGCCGAATAATGACGAATACGGCTCAATAATGGGCTGGTAAGAGGCTGTTAGCTAATTCCTTCACATTTGGCGTAACTACTAGTTAGTTTATGGTACATACAATTCCTCCGGCCTTCATTCTATAAAATCTCTGCCGAACCAAAACGGTGCGGGCAACAAGATGCAGCAGTAGCGCGACGCCCACAGCAAGCCCTGTGGTAGCCACAAGGCTAAATGTATCGTCCGTAAGCATCATCCTAACCGGCTGTCACTATATTTGACCAGATGCGATGTTGAGAAGTATTTTTGCCTCTAAATAGCAAACTAGGTAGGAAGTGATACCCTCGGTCTCGTCGCTGGGTGAGTTATAGTTAGCCAACAGATTATTCAACTGGCCGTATATCCCTTAGAAAAATTGCCATTTATCATCAGGCTGCTAGTTATATATAGTTAACACTAACCAGTATTTGTAGTTGGTTGGCATCTTTAAACCCGGTAGTTAACTCCGACGGGACTACATATAGCTTTGTGACATGCGAGCAAACTCCGGCTTGGAGAGCATCATGAGCACGGAATACCTAAGTAGGCAGTTATGTGTCAAATCAAGCCAGGTCTTCGGACGGCGTTACGCGGAACTTTTGGTTTAGAGGTGAGACGGAGATAGTTAACTCCATTCAACACTGAGTGAAGAAAATGGCCATCTTACTCCGCCTCACCGTAGTTCACGACCTCCTCTTATTCAATCCCATCTACCACTAGTTATCTTCACTAGAACTGATCAAAACTGATGCTTGGTAGACTTAATGGTGTGTCCGGACCTGAAATTAATGGCGATGACCCAGAGCCCGTCCTGGAACAGTGAAACGCCGCGGAAGACCGGCTATCTAGCCCGCGCTGGGTCCCTTTAAAGGTGAGGACGCACCAGAAGATAAAGGGCTCGCCTCGCTGCTCCCCAGACATAGGAAGAAGCACCCTTGTGCAGGATTAAGATGTAAGCGTAGACAGTAAATGAAGCCTGTAAAGATAAACTGTGCTTAATGCTTCACTTTGGCCATATGTTTAAACGTTCACTGATAAGTACTGTGAAGGAGTGTTCCATAACTGGTCAACTACCTAGGTACCTAACTACCTAGTTAACTGACTACTAACCAACGCTTATGATATATGGGGAGACACTCCGGGGGTCGTTAACATCCCGCCCGAGCGCTGGACGACTATTCCCCTCGTTGACGGATGGGTAGTGTCACTGTTCTGGTTCCAACACGAGTAAGAGCAACTACCCACTACCCACTATCTACAGCAACAACTCCATGGCAGTAGCAACAAGAACAGCCAGGAATGCTGCAGTATATACGTACCCGCGAACAGATAGTGCTGCAGCAGTTCCAGGCATAGGGGTGGGGGTGGGCTCGCCCGAGCCAACCACCTCGGGGAATAAGGAGGTCGAGTTAGAGTCGACAATTATCCAGCTACGGATTACAGCAGTACCGTTCTCAACAGACTCGATCTGTGCCTTGGTGCAGGTGCTAGTGTCCAGAATATGGCAGAAGTGGACATGTTGTGGTGGAGGTTCATTCTTGAACACAAACGAGTCCGCAGGGCCTGATGTGCCGTAAAACTTACCCCCGTCTATGCGTGAAGATGTGTCCTTCGTTCCGGTGGCGATATCCTTGTTGAACAGGGCACGGTGGAATATCTGTAGTGCAGTCTCGGGCTGGTAGGATGGCACCTCATGGCCAGCCTCGTAGACACGAGCGAAGGAGAGGTTGCCATACTGCCTCACCTGTCCACCGATATAACTGCTGTTGATCTGTATTCCCGCGTAGCCCGCATTGTGGAATTCCTGGGTGTCAGTATAGTTGATCCCCAGACTCGAGAGCTCACCACCGAACCAGTTGCACGCATAATCCCGGTCTCCGTAGACAAGCGAGACCTTGATGCCGTTCTCTAGCAGATAAGCCAGGTTCTCCAGCCATCCTGGTCGTGGGTAGTCACCAATGGCGCGGAACGCCCTGGTTACAACATTGTTCGACTGCGTCCAGTTGAGTGGCACACCTAATGCAGCCTGCACATGCGGCTGGTTTAACCAGGCCATGTAGAAGGGGGCGGGGAACGGGCTGGGGTCGAGCTGCCCAATGTCATAGTAGTTGCGACCGGATAATTCGAGGTAGGGATCTCGAACTTCAGTGGAGCAGAATGTCTCTGCATCCTCGCAAACAGCGTTGACGGTTGAGTTGATGCCGAGATTCTCTGGGTCAGAGGCAGAAGAGAGAGCACGGCAATAGTTGATCTTGTCACGACAGCCGCCGTCGCGGTAGAGGGCATCCAGCATCCCTTCATGGACACTAGCGTTGACTGCTTCAATGCCGTAAGTGTTGTTGTATGCCATCTGTGGGTATGCGGGCCATTGGACAAGACGGTCTATGCATCCATTAACGATCATGAGAGTGTCAAGATGCAGCACATGCATGGTTCCCTTGCTTCCATGCCACGTGCCATTCTTAATCTTCTGGTTTTGTTCCTCGAAGAAGGCAGTAAAGGCAGGGCCATAACGGCCGCCATAGGATTCAGTAGCAATGCTGATCTTGTTGTTCCTGGGGTGGTAGCCTGGGAATTCCTGGAACCAGACCTGAGCAAAGTGCCAGAGAGCCATGGCAGCATGCCTAGTTCCCTGGGAAGTGGTGTTCATATTGCGGCTAGCATATGTGCCAACCAGGAAGGTAGCATTCTGCTCAGGGATTGGGTCTCCAGGCTCCAGCTTGGTGATCTCATCTGTGACCAGGTTCCTGGTGAAATTTGACAGGGTGTCGTAGGACAGACCGACCTGCACCGGCTGGTCTATATAGAGCATATTGACTAGCCATGGGAAGATACAATATCAGCAAGATTCAATAGCTACTCGGCGAAGGCCCGATAACATACCTTCGTTGTTCCAGGAGTGAGGGTTGAGGCGAGTCGAATTAGAGTCCGGATTGACAAAGCAAGGCCCGTTCTCGGTCATCATTCCGAACATCGACGAGCTACCGGGACCACCGTTCATCCAGATTCCGAGAGGAGCATTTTCGGGGTCCTTTCTCGCCTCAAAGAACCAGAAGAAGGTGTTGATGGGGTAGTTTTGCTCGACCCCAAAGTCGCTGAGCGTTCCTGGAGGGAGATGGACATATCCAGCGTAGGACTTAACTCCCTCGGTCGTCTCACAAAGACCAGGCTAGTTGATGTCAGTTACGGTTACCTCACATAGAGTCAATGCTACTGACGGACCTCCTTGTAAGTGATGCGAGCGCCGCTGCCAAACTTCGATTCCAAGACGGTGACTCCCTCCGGCTTGGGCGGGAACTGTGCTTGCGCCAGCGGGCCGGCAGCCGCCAGCAGGCAGACTGCCACTCCGGAGAATGACACCATAGTCGATGCTTTGAATAACTAGTCTGTTATCAGGTATCGCAACAAAAACGAGAGTGGTATATTAGGCGTCAGACGCACACTGCTGCCTGGCTCTAGGTCTGGTCGTGTGAGTGTCCGTCTTTTCCTTCTCTGCCGGCCAACGCAGAAACGCCTCCATATTTAAGATACAGAATCCATCCAAGCAGACAAATGCTGAAACCCCGCATCTAAACATTGCCCCGGCACACCTCGCCCGGGGAAGCCGTATTTTCTGTGGCCTGTCCAGCACAAGTCAACTAGTTCGTTATTTTGGGCATGGATGTGGTTTGTCCTTATGTCCCAGTGATACGAAGCGGCCGGGGAACTCTGCAGGGACAAGGGATAGAACCACCAAAATCAACTTGTCATCATGCAAAGGGCGTCGATCCCGGGTCTGGGGAAAATACACCACCCGGTTTCCAGTGACGAGAGTGTAATCAAGCTCCGAAACTAGTGGCTTCGTCCTAACATAGCCAGTTATCCTGTATTACGCGATTCAGGGTCCATGGTGTGCCATAAGTGAAGCCTGAAACGACGCAGCCTCTGCCAGCATCATCAGAAGATGCAATTTGACGGAGATACGGAGTACTCTGTGTCATAACGAGGTAACTAACTCAGACAGGGGGGGCTCCCAGTAATTATTCAAAGATCCATGGCTGGATAACATCGTTGTTAACACAACCAGTTAAACTAGTTAATCATCGCGTTCGAGGGGTCAACCCACTGAGGGGCGACATATCAAGATTTATTTATACCAATGATCCCAATTCTGGGACGCTTTTCGATTCATGATGCTGATGCCGATGCTGAAGGTTCGGAAGGTGCGGAAGGTGGTGTTTAAACCCACGAAGCCAGGTACTACAGCGTCGTTAACTACCACCTAGTTAATATGTAACTAGGTACGGAGTAATCTTTTGAGTAATAGCGCAGTCACGTTAGTTATGTGTGATTGAAATTGGCCAATAAAAAGCTTGAGACCTGAGAGTTAAAAGTAAGTTGAAACTCGAGGGCGCTACGGAGTATAACTACAACGTCATGCATTTCCTGCAAGCCAGCGACACGAAGGACGGTGCGGTGATCGACTAAGATGTTTAGTTATCTTATAACCAACGACAAACTAAAGAAAAAGAATCAGTCTGAGAATTATGTACTGAACTATGCAAGTAGGCAGTTTATATCTCCCGCAACAGAATGCAACATAGATAAATGGGAATAGGCTAGCTCCTCTCCCTTCTGGCTATATACTCCGCCAAACAACACCCAAAATCCTCAACCTCTGACCTGGAACGAGCCGTCATCATTCCTTGCCACGCTGAGTGGAATAGATTGGACTTGCCGGGCGCCCATCGTGCTCAGACTGGATAGGTAAAACCCCATGACAACAAAAATATATGTAAGGAGCAGGATAGAGCCTTTGAAGTAGTTGCTCTTCCCTTCGCCGTAGACGTAGGACAGTAGAAAAACACAGAGGATGACGGTGATCATGTCCCACTGTGGAAATATCAGACTAGATCATGAGCAAAAGCTGTTAGCAGAGAGCCTCGTAGATAGTACCTCAGCAGGGCTTGTCTCACTTGAACGAATGCTCCAGAAGGTCCGAAGGATTAAATATCGAGGTATGCACAGCACTGAAAAGTACTAAGGCCGGAATTTGTAATAGGCACACTTGAAGTGCATACGCCGAACCGATTTCCATGGATAGAGCGATATTCCCGTTCATTGCGAAAGAAATGGCATTCTACTCCCGTTAGTACTTATGCTCTCTCATAAAAACGTATGTCATCGTCTGCAAAGTAGTGAAACGTACCAAAAACTCGGTAGTGTTGGGAACCAAAGAAAATAGGGTAATTCCAAGGAACTTTTCATCAATGTCGTAGCTCTGCAGCACCACATCAACTGTATTCACCAGAATCTCGGCAATCACTGCGTACAGCAATGTCGCGCCTAGTAATATAACAAAACTTTTGGTTTTACCCCAGTTGGGTGCATCATGTCCGTGTGCCTCTGCGTGAGGTTCTGTAAACACTCCCGCCTCCTCTGGGTGGCCTATTATGGGGGTCCCGGTGGTCCCAACCGGAGTCTTGCTTCCAGGCGTACCCGCTACGTGTCGTGTGCCGGCTGCATCCCGGGCAGCAACTGTGGCCGCAGTTGCTGCAACTTCGGTGACCTGGCGCACCAGTTGGTCGTTTTCTTCTGCAGTCAAGGAGGGAATCTTCATATTATATGGGCTTTGGTATTTATGCTTATCCTTGGGGGGTACAACATGCACAGTCGTACCCTCACTCTGGTTTATGCCAGCAGTCGACTGCTCAGATCTTGGAACCAAACCAACTTGTTTCAAAGACTGTCCAAGGATTCGGGCATAGAGCTGAGAGTCCCGTATGGAACCCTTGAGGCTAGTACTGCTGTGCGCATGGTCAAAATGAGAGTGAGAAGCCGGCCTATGGGCATCTGAATGCGGTTTCTTCTCATCGGCATCTGTGGACCAGATGATGGCAGCGTGCGTCCGAAGGGTGAACCAAAGACCAATTATGTAAGACAGGAACAGAAGAACGGCAGCAAAATAGGAGTATGGCTGTACTGCCTTCATGAAAAAATCATCATCAACAGCCGGGACTTGGGAGAAGTAACAACGGCGGCAGTCTCTGCCCCCCGATGGTTTAATATGATTGCAGGAATGGCAGTTCAATTCGTGCTAAAAGAAATCCATACTGTTAGTCGGGTCAGTTCCGATAAACGGATGTAATTTAAGGTTCTTACTCTGCCATAGATTTGATAAAAGAGAGTCGGGCCAAAGGCAGCAATAACTGCAAATAGCAGCATTGTCGACGTCACACCGGCTGACTTGACATTGAACCTCTGGGTCTTGCGGATGATGGCTCCGAAGCACATGGATACTCCGGGTAAAAATAGGATACCAGCGAATATACTGCCGATAATGCTTCCTTCAACGAGCTGGGCTTTACCCTGTGAAAGAGCGATGCAGTATAGATATACCTCTACCAAGGTTGAAAAAAAGGCGTTGATGGCGGCACCCAGGCCCATGGAAGATTGTGCAGAGATGGAGGCAACCGCTTGTCCGATGAAATAAGCTAGCGGCGTTACAGCAATTAGGGCCAGCACAAAAATCAGGCCGGGATGAGTGATGAAATTATCAGTGGGAAAGATCTTGCGCAAGACGTGGAAGTCAAAGATGACGAAGATGACAACGGCCAGCAGGTTTATAAGGAAGATGTTGGTGCCATCAACTGTGTATTTCCAATATTTTAAACCAGCTGCACGGTAGGTACAAAGGAGAATCGAGGATGAAGGACCGGACTGGAGCCTGGTGTATGTACTATCAGAGTGAAAGGAGAGGGCAAGGGGATGTCGACGAAGATGATGAAACAAGATGACCGTAACACGGCCCATGGGTATCCAGAAAACGAGAATCCAGCAGACGAGAGAGACTGAGAGTAGCAGAGGGCCAACTAGGAGGTAGAAGAAGATGTAAAACATGACTCGGCCAATGGTCCACTCGCCCCGTCCAAAAAGGCGGCGTTTGGTCTTCGATATGTCGCTATCGTCTGAATGGTGCCGGCCAGTTCTACCCAGCAAGCTGTCTCGCTCGCTGGCAGAGTCCATGCTATTCCTCCGTCGCCCTACTAGCGAGCGAGTATTTGAAACAGGGCCAAAAAACAAACCCCCACGTTCAATGTCACCGCTCTGCCACTGCTCGTACTCGCTGATGCTTCTCCCCTCGCCTTCATCCTCTTCCGCATAATTCTCGTCAGGCTTTAGACGAACCATCGCGCCAAAGGGGTATAGTAGGTAGCCAGAGAGCCCCCAGAACACCCTACCATATGCTGAGGAGTCTGGTGAGAAACCAATAACAAAACAAGCAACGGCACCGATCAGGGCTGCCAGGGCTAGCCACCAGCCAAATACCACTGTCCATAAAATGTTGGCCAGAAAGAGCCAAGGGCTGACACGCTGTCCCGGTGCTGAATGAATATCCCCTTCTGCAGTTTTTTCAACTGACCGGAGCTTCTTGTACAATGCTGGCTTCCAAATTCTGATACCGAACGGGTGAGTCTCATTTATGGCTTGTTGTCTGTCTTTGAGGGTAAAGCTTTCGGCGTCGCTGGCATCGTCATCATCAACACCGTCACCACCATCTACCATTTCACCAAGATCATCATTTTCATTCTCTTCATCCTCGCCAGCCTGGCTTCCGCTAGCGGTTGGGACATCTTGATGTTCGTCCTCAGAATCTACTCGGGTGAGCAGTGTTGACGGTAAGACACTTCTCCGTCGAAGAGAGGGGTGCTGTCGAGCTGTGGACCGACCAGAGAGAGCTGGCTGCCTCAGGGACTTGTCTTCTACTTCGTCCACATCATCGTCAACCGAGAACTCTTGGCCCCTATGTGGTTTGGAAGAGACACGACGTAGGATTGCAGGTTTCTTGGGTGTCCGTTCTGAGGACATAGATTCGATCAAGGGAGATCTCGACGGGTCATATGTGGAAGACTCGCCGTAAGAGCTACCAGATGCACCTATAGAGCCTGTTATGTCGTTAGCGCCAAAATAACTAAATGTCCAGCATAGTAAGTGTCATAGTAACTGTTCAGAAAGTGGTGGCTGGCAGACCATAAGTATATCCGTTCCGACTCCTCACAAGCTCTTCAGCGCGTTCACTCTCAGTTCTAGTGATGGGAGCAAACTGTCTCGGGCTCGAGGCCATGGAAGATGACTGTTCCGGGCTGTTCCCCGTATCATCGTGGTCATCCGCCGCATGAGATGCCATGGCTATGGGTAGTACCGCAGAAGTCGAAGTATTTCTATATCGGCTGCTTCAGAACCAGGAGATCGGAGCCAGCTATTCCACACGTGCATCCAGCGCTATTCATAGCAAACCGCCGGCACCAAGGAGGCAGCACGCGTATTTCTTCCCTGTGAAAACCAACAGATGTTAGCTTGGGGTTTGTTTCCCATTGTGTTGCTTCGGAGACAAGGAGTGATACCAAGCACAAAAACCACCCTACCACCAGGTGCCCCTCAAGAACTGCAGATAGAAAAGAAAGTCGAAAGTGCCCGCCAGATACCAGCTCAGCCCAGGCCTCCCTTCTTTTATATCAGCTCGTCTTGGTTCTTAATACCTTCACAGTCGTTCGTTCTCGTCCTGCAGCTGACTTCGACCTTTGCGGATGTTTTGCCCTTTGCTTTTTTTGTTCGGTAAAACGAAAAACGTGACCGAAGCAGATGACTGCTTGGTAATATATTAGTCATAGCTACGTTAGTCATTTGTTAGTCATAAATTTTACATAATGTTATATTAGTCATCAAGAGCTTTCTCAGTTTATTCTTCATCGTTGCGAACATGCAACGACATCAACATCAACCTCGACGACGACGACGACAACGACGCTTCAACGCGGACACCACCGTGAAAACACCTCAGAAGATTCCCCCATACTTCCTTACTGCTTTTGTTCTGTGTTTACCTACCGTTAGCCTAGTCAAATAGGTCCAAAGACAGACCTCCCTCCAGTCGCCATGGCGCTCGACAGCTATTACCGAAACAAGATAGAGAGCATGAAGCTGGAGATTATTCAAGGGCAAGCTGTTCTCAGGCGGTTAGAGGCGCAGAGGAATGACTATAACTCAAGAGTAAGGTTACTGCGGGAAGAGCTAGGTCTTCTGCAGCAGCCAGGCTCCTATGTCGGCGAGGTGGTCAAGGTCATGGGCACCAAGAAGGTCCTAGTCAAGGTCCACCCTGAAGGGAAATACGGTATGTCTGCTGTCGAACCAGCATGTAAGAGCTGTTTACCATGTTCTGGGTACTGACGAGATAATGTGTCCAGTGGTGGATATTGCGGACGGGGTCGACATAGCCAAGCTGACCGTCGGAAAACGAGTGTCTCTCCTGTCCGATACGTATAAGTTAGAGAAGATGTTGCCTTCCTCTGTCGATCCTCTAGTATCCTTGATGATGGTTGAAAAGGTGCCAGACAGTACCTATGATATGATCGGTGGACTAGATCAACAAATTAAGGAGATCAAAGAAGTTATCGAACTAGGTCTCAAGCACCCGGAGCTGTTCGAGTCCCTCGGAATCGCGCAGCCCAAGGGTGTGTTACTTTACGGGCCTCCGGGGACTGGCAAGACGCTGCTTGCGCGAGCGGTTGCACATCATACAGATTGCAAATTCATCCGAGTCAGCGGCTCCGAGCTTGTACAGAAATATATTGGTGAGGGAAGTAGAATGGTTCGAGAGCTCTTTGTTATGGCCCGAGAGCACGCTCCAAGCATCATATTCATGGACGAGATTGATAGCATTGGTTCCAGTCGAGTAGAGGGGAGCAGCGGTGGAGATTCGGAGGTCCAACGCACCATGTTGGAGCTTCTTAATCAGCTTGATGGGTTTGAACCAACAAAGAATATCAAGATCATCATGGCCACCAACAGGCTGGACTTACTTGACCCAGCGCTTCTACGGCCCGAACGGATAGACAGAAAGATTGAATTCCCAC